GTTTCCTCAACTTTGATAATCCACCTTTGTGCGTTATGGTGTTAATCAAAATATACATCGCACATCAATAATAATGAGATGGAATTATTTGGTTTCTGACCCTGAAACCACTTGTGAGGGGAGAATGTAATATACTTCCGTATATAATATATATCAAACTGATATAGATAACTTTGTTCTCATAAGCAATAGTTTAGCTATTAAATGGAGGCACTCAATAATTCATTTTGCTAAACCAACTGTGATGTAAACCAACTTATCAAGATGAACTATCTTGAATAAAAAAGCTGGAAATTATGCTCTAAATCAAATTATTGAGCAAGTTACCTCGCAACACCATGTTGCGGGTTAATAATAATCGCACATGTAACCATCTCATAGATGCATCTTATGTGGTATACATGGCAGGTGAATGGGCCCGTATTCACCTTTGATATTTCCAGTATTTATGGGATTCAATCCCAATTTTAGTTGGTCCATTAAATAATGAGAGCAAGCAACATAAGAGAATTCGTAAAGAACATTCTAGTTCTTTAACATTTACCCATGTGAATTCTCTATCATATTTGCACATCATACTTAAATTGATATGGCTAAACCAATTATGCCAACTGAATAAATTATCAATATTGATAAACTTCAGATTTACGTCATGACGTGTGCAATTATCAATAAACTCCAAGTTTATTATGATATGGGTTTTTATATCAATAAATATTCACTTTATTGTGGTATTCTTTTATTTGTGTAGTACAAACTGGAGAATAAAACGGGTAGCTTTTCACATACATATTACCCAGCTACAAGTTGTAGTAATAGAAGATATTAAATCTTTCCTTGATTTATAGTCTCAATATAATCAACCGCTTTCGCGTATACTTTGGAAACTAAATAAGTTTCTTTGAGACTTACTACAACACAATACCTTATTGGTAATTAATTGTGTTTCTCCAAAATAGTAATAATTGGCTCTTCTTGAGCTCTCAATTAATTTTGTACTACCACATATTCATCAACATCAATATGGTGGATATCTCTTTTAAAGAGAAAGTTATACCATTATGGTTATGGTCAAAATTATATGCAAGATCTGTTTCTTGCATTACCGTTGTCTTTTAACAATCACAATGCCAAAATATTTTGGCGTACAATAGGTACGTGACCAATGACCATTCATGCCATAATAATGACATTATTTTCTTATATCATCTCAAACCTCCTTTTAGAGGTGAGTGTGGTATATTCACTACCACTAGCACGTTCATATTCTTTGAAGAATGAATATGTATTCATAAATCAGATGTTGTCATATTCACATCATGAATGGACCATAATCATCTATATGTGCTTTACAAAATCTCATGTCAAATCGATGACAAATATTTTTCACAGAGTGAAAGATTATTTTGAGAATCCTTATTGTTCTCATTACCACAAATGATGACGATTATAATTTCGTCTATTGCCACGTCCATATCCATTGATACATTCATAGTAATAATTTTGTTTTCTTTCAGACTTATCACATACTGCTATCACATTCTCTTAAGGGAATGAGAATGGAGCAAATTCAATGGGACGGGTTTTCAATTCTTTGCCCCCAATCATACATAAATTTGATCATGGCGAGGCATAGAAATTTTACCACTTCAGGTGGTTATAATTTCTTGCAAACTCCATTAGAGTTATAATCAAACTTTGTTGTCTTTGCTTGTATTTAAAATTAAAGTATAGAATAAAAGAGAAAAATACGGTAAAATACTTACCTTAAATCCAGAATTTAATCATGAAGGAAGTTCATGGAATAATTGACAATCATTATGCTCAATCCCAAAGCTTCTATTCAATTGGCTAGAGTCTCGTGCTAATAACGTGTTATAAAACAATAAATGAAGAAAAAGAGTATTGGAAAGAAAAGTAGAGAGAGAGAATTCTTATTGATATTGGATGAATTACAATGGAATAGAACCCTCTATTTATAGGGAGAGGTTGACTTAGCCACCAAGTAATAAACCCTAGGATCTCTCTAAATATGGACATTCACCATAAATAGAATTCTATTTATAACAGTATCCCCAAACATCAATATTTACTTGGACGGTATAAAAATCACTTCAAATACTGATAATAACTTTAAAAAAAACCTCAAAAGCAAGTATGAAAAAGCTTGACCCGAAGTTGAAGCTAGCTCGCTCGGTGAATTCCCCTTTACAATTGAGGTGGAGGACCGGGCGGAGTTATACCGTCAATCAAACATAGTATAAGCTTGGTCTCAGACTTAATTCTGGATATCCCATCTTATCACACCTTATCTAATCAAACTTGATACTATTATTTTGTCCCACCTCCCAAATGGGATAAATTAGGAATTATATTTCCAGGACTATAATCCCAGGATAATTTAGTCTGCGTACCAAACGACCCCTTAGGGATTGTTTGGTTGGGGAATAAGTTATTTCGGGATTATAATTACGAGATTATAGTACAAAAATTAAATAATAATAATAATAATAATATTTAGTGGATATATTTTTATTGGCAGATGTTTGATTTATTGGACTACAAATGGGCCGGATACACCGGATAAACTATAAACATAGGTTTGTATATACTAGATAAGTTGGGATAAGTTTTTATTTTTTAAATATTAATTAATCTTGGCATTTTTAAAAGACTACAGGGGAAGAGCCTTGAAGAAGGGCATCTTTATCATTTTAGTGTTTATCCCGAAATTAACTAATTACAAGATTATTATCTACACCCTCAATATGGGCTAGAATAACACCTCAATTGTGGGATCAACTAACCCCGAATTAAGAAATTCAATCAAACGCAAAATAAAATAGTCCTCCACCTACTTTCGTATTATTATCCATTATCGCACCAACCAAACGACCCCTTAGACTTGATAACCTGCTTTCTGCTGTGAGAAAATAACACCTGGATATCTAGTCTTTTTTTTTCTTTTTTTCCTTTCTTTCATCCCTGGATATCTTGTCTAGACAAAAGACAAAGAGTGCATATTTTGCATAGAAGCTAGCATACCGTGTTAGAAAGCACAACCATTTTATTTTATTTTCCCTATATCTTGTCTTCACTCGTTCTCCAAGTATCCTAACAAGCAATGGACTAGTTCGTATGTGTTCTTCTTGTGCCAGCCGCCAGGCCATTTGAACATTATAATTCATGTCCAAGCAAATGGATGACTGAATATACTTCTCAGGCAGCACCTGTGAATTAGGAAATCGCGTATAACATTAGGAAATTGTTAACAGGAAAGGACAGCTAAACATAGTATAGCACCAGATAAACAGCAGTAGATTGCGAATCAATCGTGTGAGTAAATTCACCTATAAGAACAGAAATTTAACTGGCTGATACGCACTACAGAAGATAATTGATCTAAACTTAAGTGAACACAAGGCCTCAATTTCATCTACTACTGAATTTGATTAAGGAATCTTTGCTAACTAGGTGCTATACCGAAAGACCTTTATGCTTGCACAATCAATATGTAAGAGCATCTTATTCTTTCTGCTTTCACATTCGGTGCCAGGCAGCTTCGGATAATAAGATGAAAGACTGAATGCAACTTCTCCAGCCCTCCACCCTCCACGGACTATGGAACAACACATGGAGAAGAAAAGAGAGACCGAAAGCATACTTCTCTTGAAAAAGAGGAAATGATTCAAAAACTCTGCATCTTGCTAAGAACGTCTTTTCTCAAACTTCAAACACCTCGGACTGGGCAGTCTCTATAATGACTCAACGACCATCCGTCACAATGGCTTCATTACAAGGGTCCTAAGAATGGATAGCTGAAGGGCACACAACTCTATTATGAATTATATAGAGGAAAAAAACTGACGATCCCTTTTACAGTTGTTTCCCCAAATCCCTGTAACAGGCTCGCCATATATACTGTCAAATGACAAGATGAAACTAAAGGTATTTCAGAACTATCCAGTGACAAATTTGAGGAATAACAAGATAAATATGGCAATTTCAAGTCAATACCAGGATATTTACTCGTACACACACGAAAGGACGTAAAAAACCTCTTACATTAGCCACAAAAGACAATAGAATGGAGATTAAAATGGAGGGGAAAATCATATAGATCCCGCGAAGACAAAATTAAGCAAATTTGAGTGAGATATCAATATTATAGTATGTTACAAGCAATGTCCTTCCAGCTAAGTACCACCTGCAACTCGTTGTCTTTCCTGTTTCTCATCTTAAGTTTATTTGCTTTATTATCATACAAAAAATAAGGTAAAGGTCATCCTTCCCGATAAGCTATTTTACCTTCTAAGCATTCTTATTTCTGGTATACTCTTCTACCCATGCCCTTGTCCAAAATTTAAAGTTATCGTCAATTATGTTATCTGTCAAATTTAGAACACTGAGCATGGGGTTGCCAAACTTTCTTAATATAAGCACAATGCAGTGGTTTCTCTAAACATACTAAACCCAGTATCCCCAATAAGGTAGTGAAGCAAAGGCCAGTTCACTAAGCAATCATGCTTTAAATATATTCTCTGATACCAAAACACAGAGAGGAAGGAATGTACAAGAATTTTGACAGATTCCTGCACAAGATCAGCATCCATATCAAGTAAGTTACACAGAGAAATTGTCAATTCTAACTCTTGTTTGAGGAGGTAATGGTCCCAGGAAATGTTACAGAAAAAATAGCTCTTTTCACCCCAAGGTCCCAACACCATGTTATTCAGAATTCTGTCTTATATGGCATAGCAAAGTCCATGTTTATCGTCAAATTTATAAACTTTAGATATACTTGCCGTCATAATAGGTTACAGCTCTAACACAAAGCACTGTGATCACTTGGGGAGCCGTAAGGCCTAATATTTGGCTTCATCATGATAATTATTTAAATCTATCAGTGTTTTTTTTCAAGTTTAAGCAAGTTCAGTCTTGACATCTTATCAAGTAGAGACAAACAAAAGAAGACATAACAGAACATAGAACTGGTGGAGTTTCTCAAAGGAAAGTATAACATCAAACTCAATCACATAATTCAGTGATATGCAATATTTCCACCTTCATATACAATGTGAACTGTTGCCGGTACACCATACAAATTATGGCTCAAAAAATTGAATGAAGAATGCAATTGAAGTAGAAATTACAAGATTATTGTTGCTACAAAAGGCGATTACTGCAAAACGTCATTCATTTGCATAAGGAATAGTTTCATTCCATCAAGTTTTATACCTCGTGCTCGAGTTGCCATACACCTTAGAGCAATTGGACGGACGGTTTCTCTGGCTTCTCCTCAATCTTTTTCAAATTTAAATTCAGTATGTCCCATTTTCTGAAAAAGTTCTCTTCCAAATTGGGAAATGCCCTAAAAGTAAAAAATCTTATCCACAAACGTAGCTTTCCTTTGGTTTGCAATTCCAAATTTATACTAGATATCCTCTCAATCTGATAGAAATGATTTTCAACTCCACAAAATGAGAATCATACGCCAGAAACTAGAAACACAAAATACAACTATGGAATTACTTCAACCCTCAGAGTTCAAATTTTGGCAGGTAAATGAGGCAACCCAAATCAAGAACTAATAGGCCATGATCATAATTATGAGCATTCGAAGCCTCTAAGCTCTATTATCCCAATGTTTTGTAAACTTTATCATCCAATAATTTCTGATATCATATTTCATTTATCATTTTGAAGAGAGCAAGGCTTAGATTCTGCTACATCCAAATGGGGATTGCATTCTTTGGAATAAAAATCATTATTTTCAATAAAAACTCGAAGCATCTCATAAGTAAACGTGGGGCTATTAGGATCACTCGTCTGTGACTCACCTCCTGAATCAGAAGTCAGCCGTTTCTTCAAGCACAAATAACATCCACCTCCTCCTCCATATAATTCCCTTCTTCTCTCCGAATTTACAGAAACCCCTTTCTGTTTCCTCCTCAAAAACGTCCCTTTAACCTTCCTAAACCGAAAACAAGATATCGTTTTCCCCTTTATCTTCTTACTTTGATCATTTTCCTCTTCTGAATCATCCATATCCTTACACCTACCACTAACACCGGCACCGGCGTCGTTATCGTCATCATCGCCGCCGCTTTGTCCAGCGCCACCACCAGTTCTGGGTGGATTATTGGTGGAAACAGACATAAAAAAAAATAAAAGTGTTAAATCAGGAAATTACAAAGGAGGATTGGACCACAGAAGCATGAATGTATTTAGGGGGGGGGGGGGGTACCTGTAGTGTATTTGGATATGACGCAAAGCATCTGGTAAGTACAGTTGCTGCAGATGAAAAGAGTGAGAGTACAGAGAGAAAGAGAAAAAGTGTGAAATAACTGAGAATTTGAATTGAATTGGAATTGAATTTCTGAAACAAAAACACAGGAGATGGAGAGAGAGAGAGAGAGAGCAAGGAAGGATATGGTTATTGACGCCAAAGTTGTCGGGTTCCCTCACGGGTAACCCTTTAATTAATTGACAGGTGGTCCACTTCTATTACGTGTTTTCTCATTTTTCCTTTTATTTTTCTTTATCTTTTCATGGTAGGTATTTGTCTATTTTTATTGACGGAGATTGTTTCTTTAGTAGTTTTACTTTTGGAGAAGTCAATCATAATATCGATTGTACAGATACATTGGTGCCACGTGTTGCCTACACATCTACGATTAGTTTGCATTCTCATGTTGGAAACAATAGTTTATGCACCCCGTACAATACTCCTAGTGCCTACATTAAGTTTCTTTTTATCTTTTTTTGTTTTTCCTTTTAATCTTTCTTTTTGGAGATTTTTGGTACATTATTTATATACGGTTCACTAAAGTAGATTCACATAAATTTTCTTTCTTCTTATATACATATATTTCGGTACGTAAAATGTAATTTCAATAGAAAAGTATTTAGAAAATACACCTACTCTCAAAATAAAATAAGGTACTTATTCAACTTCCTAGAGATATAGACAGTAACTAGTTCTGTTTATTTCAATTAGGAATAATTGATTCACTTAGTGATAGTTTAATTCGTGGACTAAAAGATAAGTATTGATATGAGCGGAACCATAAGGTATTAACTTCATTGACAATTTACTTATACAATATTGGTGCAGAAAAAAATATCAAAAATTAAGAATACCTTCATGATTTCTATTTTTATATGAAGGCCTTCTATTTTTATTTACTAAAATATAGCATCTTCTTTTATTGATACTTTTATTATTTCATGTGCTCTTATTCAAGTTGCTATCACACATATTTTAATTTCACATAATAATGGAAATTAGGGGAGAAAGGCGGGGAAAGGAAGTTGTTTCGGGTGGCTAAAGCGAGGGAGAGGAAGGCCCGGGATCTGGACCAAGTAAGGTGCATCAAAGACGAGGATGGTAGAGTATTGATGGGAGAGTCCCAGATCAAGCAGAGATGGCAGACGTACTTTTATGGTCTTCTGAATGAGGAGGGGGACCGGGATATAGCGCTAGGGGACTTGGGGCATTCGGAGAGTCTCCGAAATTTTAGGTATTGCAGGCGCATTAAGGTGGAGGAGGTCGTGGGGGCGTTACGTAAGATGAGTGGGGGTAGAGCGACCGGGCCAGATGAAATTCCGGTTGAGTTTTGGAAGTGTGTTGGTCGAGCAGGATTGGAATGGTTGACTGGGTTGTTCATTGTAATTTTTAGGACGAAGAGGATGCCGGATGAATGGAGGTCGAGTACAGTGGTACCGTTGTACAAGAACAAAGGTGATATCCAGTGTTGTAACAATTATAGGGGTATCAAGTTACTTAGCCATACCATGAAAGTCTGGGAGAGGGTGGTGGAGGTGAGGGTGAGGAAGACGACGTCTATATCCGACAATCAGTTTGGGTTCATGCCGGGCCGCTCCACTATGGAGGCTATCCACCTTAGGAGGTTGGCGGAACAGTACAGGGATAAGAAGAAGGATCTGCACATGGTGTTTATTGACTTGGAGAAAGCGTATGATAAGGTTCCTAGGGAGGTGCTCTGGAGATGTCTTGAGGCAAAGGGCGTGCCGGTAGCCTACATACGAGCGATAAAGGACATGTATGATGGAGCTAAGACTAAGGTTAGGACGGTGGGAGGCGACTCGAAGCATTTTCCGATTGTTATGGGATTACACCAAGGCTCAGCGCTTAGCCCGTTCTTATTTGCCTTGGTGATGGATGCTTTGACACACCATATTCAGGGGAGGTGCCATGGTGTATGTTGTTTGCTGACGACATAGTTCTAATTGACGAGACGAGGACTGGTGTTAACGAGAGATTGGAGGTTTGGAGACAGACTCTCGAGTCTAAGGGTTTCAAATTGAGCAGGTCTAAGACAGAGTACCTAGAATGCAAGTTTAGCGTTGAGTCGAGGGATGTAGGCGGGGACGTGAGGCTTGGGCCACAGGCCATCCCCAAACGAGATAGCTTCAAGTACCTTGGGTCGATGATTCAGGGGGACGGAGAGATCGACGAGGACGTCACTCACCGCATAGGGGCGGGCTGGATGAAATGGAGGCTTACATCTGGAGTCTTGTGTGACAAGAAAGTGCCACCGACACTCAAAGGTAAGTTTTATAGAGCTAATAGTTAGACCGACCATGTTATATGTGGCAGAGTGTAGGCCGGTTAAGAACTCCCATATCCAGAGGATAAAAGTAGCAGAGATGCGGACGCTGAGGTGGATGTGCGAGCACACTAGGATAGACAAGATTAAGAATGAAGATATTCGGAAGAAGGTTGGCATCGCCCCTGTGGATGACAAGATGCGGGAAGCGAGGCTCAGATGGTTCGGGCACGTGCAGAGGAGAAGCCTCGATGCACCGGTGAGGAGGTGTGAGCGGTTGGCCGTGGTGGGTACGAGAAGAGGTAGAGGGAGACCTAAGAAGTATTGGGGAGAGGTGATCAGGCAGGACATGGCACGACTGCTCATTTCCGAGGACATGGCCCTTGATAGGAAGGCCTGAAGGTCAAGCATTAGGGTTGTAGGATAGGGGTAGTAAAGCTTTCCTTACTTCATTCCGGGGTTGAGGCGGGGTTGGATTAGGATTGGTCTTAGATGGCTTACAGTTTATGTTGGACCCACACTATTTTTGTTGTTTGTCTTAGCCCCAGGCCTTAGATTATGGTCACTGTTATTGCATGTCATTCATCTTTCGGTTTTTATGTTTTTGTTACTATTACGATTTCTATTGGAGTTACTAATGAATTCTCTCCTCTTGTTTTTTCTTACTTTATTTTCGTCTTTATGAGCCGAAGGTCTATCAGAAATAACCTCTCTGCCCCTATCGGGGCAGGGATAAAGTCTGCGTACACATTACCCTCCCCAGACCCCACTATATGGGATTTTACTGGGTAGTTGTTGTTCCTGTTGTTGTTATAATAATGGATAAATACCCACGTAAATTATATGAATATTTTTTTGTGCTAGAAACAAAACATTTCACCAATTACTATATTGATATTGCAAAGTTTTTAGTAGGAAATACACAATATATTAGTAACACACATATTTCTTTGCGAAAAGGTTCAAAAATACACCCCTACACTTCTCAAAATCAATCATTGATGTCCTCTGATAAGAGTTCAATTCAAAAATACCCTCGTGTGTCACCCAATTATATCACATTATTTACTCTTATTTTCTAACACAACAAAAGAAAAGTTGACTAATTTTCGAATCCAAGTCAACTAGTGCCAGGAAAATGCATTATGTTGAGGAACTCATTTATCATACATTATTCAAAATAATAGTGTTTGGTAGAAAATAAGAATATACGTCAAATTAACAACATTTAGGGGTCATTTGTTTTTTTTAAGATTAAGACGTATGAATCTGAATACACATATGAATATTAAGATGTGTATTAAGATTAAAACATCTGAATATATTAAGATGTGTATTAATATCCGAATAGAAATAATTAAGACTGTTTGATTTTTAACATCTGAATGTATAAAATTTATCTTTATTTTAAAATTAATAAACAGAAAATTCAAATGAAATACTAACTAATCTAATATTCTATAAATAAAATATATAGTTTTTTATAATATGATAGTTGTTGGTGATGATGGCTAACAGGTGAATGCCGACTAGAGATGGTCGTTGGTGGTAGTTTTGGTTGATGATGGTGGGTCATGCTAGTAGCTAGTAGCGATTGGTAGTGGTGGCGATAATGATTGATGGTGGTGGTGGTGGGTGGTGATAGTTAATAATGGCTGGTTGTGGTATTAGTTGTGACTGAGGAAGGTGTTGGGTGGGTGGTGATAGGTTATAATGATGGGCAGTGCCGACCGTGGTTGTTGATGGTGATAGGATGGTCAGTTGTGGTAGTTGAGGCGGATAAATGTTGATTGTGGGTGAGAATGATATATGGTGGGAGTGGAGAGGATAGTGTGTGGTGATGATCGATAATGGTGGCGGCTATGATTAAGGATGATGGTGGCGGCTATGATTGATTATGATGGTGGCATGGTGGTGGTGGTGGTGGTGGTTGAGTATGGTAGTGGTGGCATGGTGATAGTTGATAATGGTAGGTGGTGATGGCAATTAATAATGAATATGTGATAGCATCTTCATGAAATTAAGTCTCTGTTATAGATCTTAATCATACACACCTATTCAGACCCTTTAAGTGGTTGTAAAGCGAAAAAAAAAATACTTAATGATTAAGATCTGAATAATTAAGATTCAGACTTTAAAAACAAACGACTTGATGTATGAGATCTGCATGATTAAGATTCAGACCTCCATTAAGTACAAACAAATAAGGCCTCAAATGATATCTTAACTTAAGAATCTCAATGTGTATAAATTTAAATTTCATTAAGTTGTATAACTAAATAAACTGTAATATTTAAATGGATACAATTCGTGTATGAAAAAAGTCAAAATTTCTAAGGTGTAGTAACGTTTTCCCTGAAATTCTAAACAGCTTAGAAAGACCGTGTCCTTTGACTATAGTACTTTTGATTGCACCTATAAAACTTATTTTCTAAAGAAAATTCTACTAAAGTTATTGTTGGACTTTAAAGGCATTAGGCTTCGAAGACTTTAAGCATTGGGTTTAAAGTCTAAGAGTGTGAATTGGAAATGGTGGAAAATAAAATGGAGGGAAATGAAAATTTGAATGAAGTGAGCTTTTGACTTGCACTTTGTCCCTCATTGGTGAGGGACAACTACATTTGTGTGCTTATATATAGAATCACTTCTTAAAGCTCTTAAAAGGAGTTGAAGAGAATGAACCCTTGTGCCGTCGTTGTCGCTCGCTCGGCTCGACTTCGGCTTTGGATCGATTGATAAGATTATTTTTGGACAAAATTTAATAATTAATTAAATGCCAGATCAGTGCTGAAGATTCAGAAGGCTAGTCTGGCCGCGGTCCTGGCGTAACCGCGGCAGGACGCGTAAACTGCTGAACAGACAACAGACAGCACACCTCTTCCAATAATTGCCTATAAATTCTGAGGCATGGCTTCGTTTTTAACACAC